CAAACTTATGGAACCACTGGCGCGATAAAAACATCACGTGTGGAATATTTTCCATATTTGATAGTGTTTCGTATACTTAAAATGGAATGTTGTTAATGGTGAGATCCTATCTTCTTTCTCCATTAAACGTCTGGTAATATATATTGCGGTGTTAAATGTTTTGAATGAGAAAGTAAGCTTTGTTAAAAAATACATATATAATAATTGAACGTAAAGCTGCACGTACAGATTGTGATTTTATCGTCTGTGATGGCTAGATGGGGCCACGTGAATACTACACTCACCAACATTCCAGCTATATGCCGGGGGTCTGAAAGTCTTGGCCACAAAATCAAGTGATTGACATTATGAACATCGATCTAACTCGATTACGATTACATGCATCGAGCTCATCCCTAATCCCGTTAGTCGCCTCTTAAGACAAGCACGAGCTGCTGCAGATCAATTCTAACCCGGATCGTCAAAGGGAACTACTATAATAACTCCTGCTCTCACTGCAACAACTCTTATTAACTTTAAACAGCTGTTGTCATAAGAGCTACGACCTATGCTCCTACTACTGCTGATGCCACTAAGGCTACTGGGGGCGATGGGGTAGCCTAGTGGTTAAAGCGTTCGCTCAACACGCCAGTGACCCGGGTTCGATTCCCCACATGGGTACAATGTGTGAAGCCCATTTCTAGTATCCCACGCCGTGATATTGCTGGAATATTGCTAAAAGCGGCTTAAAACCAAACTCACTCACACACTAAGGCTACTGGCTGCTGATTGTATCCTGTACGAGGACATTGCTACAGCTTGATGTTACTACATGCTACAACTGCTACTTCTTCTGTTACTGTAAATATTACTACTTCAAGATCCATATCCGTGGTCCAGTGGAGAGAGTATCGGCCTGGATGGGGGAATGTCAATGGTTCGAACCCGTCATACCTTACCTGGCACCAGGTATTGAGGGTACAAAACAACGGCTGGTCGCCCTGAAGTCAGTAAACTGTTTCTCCGTGGGTTATCCATGTTAAACCAGCCGTGGTGTCTCAGTCTCAGAAGGACACTATAAAAACGGAACCAGTCCAGATGGTAAAATCAGACACACAAGTTCACATACCACTACTACAACTACTACTACTTCTGCTTCTACTACTACTGTTGCTATCACTACTACTACTACTAGTACCTCTATTATTTCAGCTACTACTACTGCTAATATTTCTACTCATTCTGATGCTGTTCTACTACTACTGGTGTTTTTGGTGCGGCTATTATTATTATTACTACTACTACTACTACTACTACTACTACTACTACTACTACTACTACTACTACTACTACTACTACTACTACCTCTATTGACCTCCTCCGTGGTGTAGTGGTTAGAGCGTCCGCCCGGAGAGCGGAAGGTCGCAGGTTCGATCCCCGACCGCGTCATACCAAAAGACGTTAAAATATGGTACTTGTTGGTCCCTGTCTGACGCTCGGCATTAATGGGTACAACAAGGACTGGTCGGCTCGGAGTCAGTAGAATGTGTCTGAGTGGGGTATTCATGCTTCACTGCGGCATGGTATCTCAGTGAGCTAGCACTATAAAACCAGCTTCAGTCTGGGCTAGTACAAGCAGCCGCACATACACATACACACGCATGCACGTCGTCATATGAGCGAAATATTCCCAAGCACGACATTAAACCCAATTTCACCTCACCTCACCTCTATTACTTCAGCTACTATTGCCAATACATCTACTTATTCTGATTCTACTACTACTACTACTACTACTACTACTACAGCCGCTGACTTGGTGGACACATGTCATCGGTTCCCAATTGCGCAGAGCGATGCTCACGCTGTTGATCACTGGATTGTCTGGTCCAGACTCGATTATTTACAGACCGCCGCCATATGGCTGGAATATTGCTGAGTGCGGCGTAAAACTAGACTCACTCACTACTATAGCTGCCACCTACTACTGCTGTTGCTACGTCTTCATACGTTAACAACCAACACCACGTCAGTTTCTACAGTAGTGACAGTGATCTATTACAGTATACGGGGATACATCAAACGAGGAACAGCACCTACACCAGCAGCACTGGTACTTATCATCATCTTTAAGGAAGCACTACTCAGATCCCCGCCACATGTCGGATATCACTGACGGGGCTCGCTGATAAGCACAGGAAACATGACTTTTTCTGGTTACTTAAAACATTGATAATGTCACCACAGCTCGTTGAATCTATCGTCCAAAACATAAACTGATAATCAAAACATGATATAAAAATACTTATGATATACCATCTTGGATTTCAATTTTTTATCTAATGAATATTTGACACGCTGATGAACTTCAATATGTTCATGGCCGCTTCTAAAGCGAATGTTTGATTATAATCTTCAACGATTGAGATATGCCTTATTTCCGAGTGAGGGTAGATTAAATTTCTTAATTTGTGAAAAGTATTAGAAAGGTTTTTTTTTAAACGCCATGCAAAAAGAAAAATTATAAACATATCCGTACTTTTCAAATGCAGGGCATTATAAGTGAATTGATTGGTTTTCCATGGCCGGTATTTCTGTAAGCGATTAGGCGATTGTTATCAACGGAGAGTCGGACATAATATGTTCAAGTCACACACCTGTGTATATTTCAAGAAATCGACAACATTGATCAGCTGACAGTTTAAGACCCAGAGACAGATAGCGTGGTCTTTAACACTGTTTACTATAGGGCAATGATGAAATCACAGTTAATTTTCTCACGAAGAGAATTGAGCAGTATCTCGCTTTTCCAAACAGCTCGGGTTCTACCAATGTGTGTAATACAAGATGATTTTGGAATTAAGGGTCTAAAAATAGAACTTATCCGAGCAGAAAAATAAACGGAACGGGGTATAAAAACAAACCCAGTGAACTTCTGTTTTTCTCGGTACTTGGTCTCGACAGTTATGGCTCATTAATATAAGGTTCAGTGAACGAGAGGAATGGGACACAGTCCGACCACGATGTGATGGATCTCCACACAGAGAAACGCAAATGTGTTCTGGTGGCGTCAGATTGGCATCCACATAAATCATCCACATAAGTGGTAATGCAAATAGGATTGTCAACTCCGAATACTACCAACGTACCAATGAATCGGAACTGCGTTGTATAATGTTTTAAACAACGCCGGACATATATATGCGCTATTAGACAACATCGGGGCAGTGGTGTAGCCTATTGGTTAAAGTGTTCACTCGTCACGCCTAAGACCAAGGTTCGACTCCCCATATGGGTACAATGTGTGAAGCCCATTTCTGGTGTCCCCCGCCTTGATATTGCTGGAATATTGCTAAAAGCGGCGTAAAATTAAACCTAATCACTCAATTAGACAAATACGACTTGGGAAATTTAGAATATAACAAACGCCCAAACTTCATTGATCATGGGCTCACAATCATTAGTCAACAAAAACCCACTTTCTGTTATAAAAAGTGTGATCATAGTTTGAACAAGGGATGACAAGGTAGCATAGTGGTGAATGCATTCGGGCTCACGCCTGAGACCTGCCTCCAACTCCCATTTTCTGTGTCCCCGATGGACGGAATGCTGCTAAAACGGCGTAAAACAATGCTCCATCATAGTTTGGACGAAGCCTGTCATGTATGTAGTACCTATTGTTCACGAACGACCTTCACCACCTGAGGAGTGTTCTAGGGCTTCCATTTCAACGAGCATTATTAAATGCGGTGTAAAACAAAAACACTTATATATTTTGGACTAAGCTTTTTATGTACATACTGCCTATTGTTTACAAACGACCTTGACATAAACTGAGCAATGATCTTGGGCTTCCCTTCTAATGAGGTCGACTAAAAGCTGCGTATAAGAAAACTCACTTATTGTTTGGACGAAGCCTTTTATGTACGTACTACCTATTGTGTACTACCTATTGTTCATGAACGACCTTGACACAAAATATGCAATGTTCTGGGGCTTCCTTCCAATGAGAGGGCTAGTGTTGTCTCACGACCAGTGAGGTATAAGTTACGGGAGATAACAGCGTCAACGTGCTTTCACGCGGACTGAATACGTAAGCCCTGTCGACCAGTTGACATATAAATTGCACATATACAGCCTTGTTGACATGTCGGGGTGTTCCAACAGGCAGGTTTTGTGCTAGAGGTTGTGGCCGGACCTCTAATTAGTTTTTTACCTGCCTGAGGAGGCGTACCTGGATTTCGAGCCTTGTCGGATATATATGAACATTTCTGTCACTGCTTCAAGGGAGGTACATACATACATGATTTGCCTATATTTGTGATGTATATTAATACGTGTTTACTCCTGTGTTTATTTAGTTGACTTGGTCGTATGAGGCAGTTATGTTTGAGTAATTTACGATTGTTTTGTAAAATTGCTTTCAAAATATGTTATTGATATGTTAATGTTAGAGGCATCTAAAATACGTGTTTCTGAATATTCAAGGTGATGTTGCTTTTCTTATTCTGTACTACAGATCTGTGGCGATTATGTTATTTCATCTTTGGATGAGGATTATATGATTGTTGTTTATTTGGATTAGTCATGAAATTTGCAAGTCAGCAAATTTGCTGACTTGCAAATTTCACATGAAAACATCAACAATTAACTGCTGAAAAGGATGCATAAGAAGCAAAATTGTGACGAAAATTATATGAATGGATCACTATAAATCGGGATAACACCGGGTGTATTTGGAGTTTTAGCACTCACCACTCACATACTTTGCATAAGAAAGTAAGTGTTTGTTTGTTGTCTAACGCCGCTCAGCAGTATTCCTGCCATACGACACCCAAGTCTCTCAAATAACCCCCACTAATTACATGCAGTGTGTTTTTGTTGAGATTTATTCCTTTTAGGAGGTAATGTAAACAGGTAATACCAACACTACCTCCCAATCACTTAGCCCACCTACCCCTAAAGCACCCACTATCACACCCAGCAATCATTAAGTGAACACTCGTGTATTTTCTTTCCAGCTGGGTGCCCGTCGGCCGCCAGTACAGCAGCGGACAGTCAGGTTCCGAGTCCCTGGAGAGATACTCAGCCAAAAGCTCCACCCCAGGGGAAAACTCTCTGGACCGGCCCTGCCCCCGTCGCCCTGTCCCCTATTACGCTACGATGAGCAATGGGGGTACACTAGGGGGAGATTCACGGTCGAGTGGCGAGGGAGGGAGGGCTCCCTTTGTCAACAACCTCCAGCCGAACCTACCCCGCAGGATTAACATAATGAGAGAGGAGCGACAGGGCATCACTGTCAACATGGCGAGCGAGGCACCTAGCTTCTCCCACTCTCTACCTAATGGGGATTCAGGTGAGTTGACAACATGTCTATTTCAGGGCATATCGTGTTCATTTCATTTACGTGCATTCAATAACATGTGCGCATACTTTAACGGCACGACTTATGGGGCAATGTTTCCGTTTATGATGTACATTTCATGTATGTAAGCAAAACGTGGTATATCAACCATTGGTTACACTCACATGAATGATATTCATTTCAGGGGATGGCTTGTTCGTTTCATCAACATACGTTTCAATAGCATGTGCGCATACTTTAACTGCACAACTTATGGAGTAAGGTTTCCGTTTATGATGTTTATTTCATCCATATGTGACAACATGGTATATCATCCATTGGTTACACTCACATAAATGCTGTTTATTTCAGGGGATATCGTGTTCATTTCATTAACATACATTTCAATACCATGTGCATGTACTTTAACTGCACAACTTATCGAGTAACGTTTCCGTTTACCATATACATGTCATGCATATATGCAAAACATGGTATAGCATCATCCATTGGTTACGCCCATGACTGATATGCATTTTGGGGAATATCTCCACGAGATTGACACGAGGTTCATGTATCAAGCAGTACTCTCGTGCATGTTGATAAGGTGTATCTTGACATATCCTGAAAATATTTATAAATAATTACATCGCGCATTGTTTACATTCACTTGAATCACGTTCAGTTTATTGCAATGTACGTATAACGTGGGATAAATGTTTTGTCACAAGGTTGAACTCTGTACGTGACCTTTTGATTGGGGCAGGTATATTTGGTGTCTCGATAGCTGATACTGCTGACAGAAACTACAAATATTGTATGCCGGGCAACTGCAACGTCGGTAGGTGTTGTCAACAGCCACTTCAGAACTATTAGCATTTGGCAGCGATAGTAGTCATAACACCTGCGGTGGGGCTACAATGGTAAATGACACTGATAGGCGTGACACCAGTTGTTGTCTTTGATACCCGTAACTGTAACGGTTGGTACTGATAGCTGTAACTGGAGTGGTTGGTATTGATACCCGACAGTAGCAGTTGGTATTGATAGATGTAACTGGAGAGGTTAGTATTGAAACCCGTAACTGTAACGGTTGGTACTGATAGCTGTAACTGGATTGGTTGGTATTGATACCCGACTGTAGCAGTTGTTACTGATAGATGTAACTGGAGTGGTTGGTATTGATACCCGTAACTATAGCGGTTGGTATTGATAGATGAAACTGGAGTGGTTGGTATTGATAGATGTAACTGCAGTGGTTAGTATTGATACCCGTAACTATAGCGGTTGGTATTGATAGATGTAACTGCAGTGGTTGGTATTGATAGATGTAACTGCAGTGGTTGGTATTGATAGATGTAACTGGAGTGGTTGGTATTGATACCCGACAGTAGCAGTTGGTATTGATAGATGTAACTGGAGAGGTTAGTATTGAAACCCGTAACTGTAACGGTTGGTACTGATAGCTGTAACTGCATTGGTTGGTATTGATACCCGACTGTAGCAGTTGTTACTGATAGATGTAACTGGAGTGTTTGGTATTGATACCCGTAACTATAGCGGTTGGTATTGATAGATGAAACTGTAGCAGTTGGTATTGATAGATGTAACTGCAGTGGTTAGTATTGATACCCGTAACTATAGCGGTTGGTATTGATAGATGTAACTGCAGTGGTTGGTATTGATAGATGTAACTGCAGTGGTTGGTATTGATAGATGTAACTGGAGCGGTTGGTATTGATACCCGTAACTATAGCGGTTGGTATTGATAGATGTAACTGCAGTGGTTGGTATTGATAGATGTAACTGCAGTGGTTGGTATTGATAGATGTAACTGGAGTGGTTGGTATTGATAGATGTAACTGCAGTGGTTGGTATTGATAGATGTAACTGCAGTGGTTGGTATTGATAGATGTAACTGCAGTGGTTGGTGTTGATAGATGTAAGTGCAGTGGTTGGTATTGATAGATGTAACTGGAGCGGTTGGTATTGACAGCTGAAACTATAGCAGTTGGTATTGATAGATGTAACTGGAGCGGTTGGTATTGACAGTTGAAACTATAGCGGTTGGCATTGATAGATGTAACTGCAGTGGTTGGTATTGATAGCTGTAACTGTAGCGGTTGGCATTGATAGATGTAACCCGAGTGGTTGGTATTGATACCCGTAACTGTAACAGTTGGTATTGATATATGTAACTGTAGCGGTTAGTATTGACAGCTGAAACTGTAGAGGTTGGTATTGATAGCTGTAGTACAATGAGTTTTCAGACGTAGATGTAGCCTCAGATGGCGTTGTAATACTGCAACAAGGACTTATTAATATCTGTAAAACTGTTATCATATAAGTGTAATAATATCTGTAACACTAGTTATGTTGTTATTGATACCTGCAACAGTCGTAATAATACCTGTCGACCTTGATAGCTGTAAACTCTAGTTATTTCTTGACTGTAACTCTGCCGTGGTCTATGACAATGGTTACAGTGGCTATTGTTTATTTTGAATCTGTGGAACCATCAAGGTTACAATACACCTACCGGTCAACCCGGTACATTCCGATTGACCTACATGGTACTATTCATATAAGGATTATGTGGTTAACATACACCTATCATTACGGATTACGTTAAACCAGTTGGGACTAGGTTCCCAAATCGTAAAGAAATTTAGGAACTCTCTCCAATACTCAGCTCTGTAAATGTTGATCTTGCATGTCTAGTTGATATTAAGTCGGATTAAGCTTGGATTACTTGTCTGAATTACCCCATTGACTAGAGGGATAATATCTACTCGATTAACTGAGATAAACGTTAAACTGGAAGTCATTTTACACTGGTTTTAATCGGTATGGTCTTAACAACTTGATCCACTTCTGTTGCTTTCATTGTGTCTGTTTCTTCTTTGAAAGGCGTCAATATCTCGAAATGATGCCGTAGGCCTTTTATTTTTTCTTTCCGTACACGCTTGAGACGAACAGGGATATTGACGAAATCTAGACATTCTTTGGCAGTTGGTTTTGTTTCAGGGTCTGTATGAGATATTTCTTGGTTTCAAACTATTTGATCTATGATAGATCTTCACACTATATCAATATTGTTTAGCTGCTCAAAAGTGTATATGTTTGAGCTCTTCATCTATTCTTTCATTATTGAGAAGTTACTTTTTTATATGACATCCTTATAAAGCATACCATATTAAATCCAATAACTGCGAAATTCTAGTAGGCAAACTCCGACATCCATACAGTTTGGTTCAAACTCCGAAGGAGGCCAATGCATTATCGTTGAAGAGCATCGTTGGACGAAAGCCTACCAATACAATCAAGCAGACAATATGAACAGTATTTAAAATATATCCTGGTATGACAGCTTGATAAGAAAGCAATACGCAAGGCGATGCAGATCTTTCCACGAGGGTTATGGATATATTGCGGACAAACCAAGGACCCGTGAAGATCCGGGTTAGAATTGGTCTTCAGCAACCCATGCTTGTCGTAAGATGCAGCTAACGGGATCGGGTGGTCAGGTTCGCTGACTTGGTTGACTCGTGTCATCGTATCTGAATTGCGCATGTCAATCATTGGATTGTCTGGTCCAGACAAGATTATTTACAGACCGTCGACGTATCGCTGGAATATTGCTAAGAACAAACAAACAATCCAAGGATCATTATTCAAAATGAATTTGAGATTAGAACCCACTATCATTAGAACTTCATAAGACGTTAGTGACGTATCTCCGCAGAGCGAAATGCAGCGTTTTGGCCTACTGGGTTATCTACACCCCTACACCTTCAAAGTGAGGGATTAAGTCATTCATGTCATATGGCGTCTTTATATATCTATGAGCACCACGTGTTTCCAATTTTCAAAAATGTTGGTTTCACAATGGATAGAAGTATCTGATTTCTGAGATCATACGGCTCTATGTTGAGCATGTCACGTACTATATCTATGCTGGTGTTGCAAGCCCTGTAAGACGTGACGACGGCGTAAGCATGGAGATCTACTCATTGAGCTATGTTGCGTTGTCCAGGATTGTTCGCATTGATTCTCAAGCTTATAACTTGACCTGGAGGTATGTCACAAACTGATGCCATCATTGAAATATTGTATTGTCTGTGGTGAGAGAGTTTGGTTTATGCCGCTGTGTGTTTCTCTAACATGACGGAATTGTTCACTTGAGTGAGTGAGTGAGGATGGTTTATGTCCCTTTGGAGTGTGCTTGAGTTACATCACGGCATTGTTCACTTGAGTGAGTGAATTTAGGTAAGGTCGTTTAAACAATAATCCGAGTTATATCAGTTTATTTGAGACAAACGCCAGAAGTGATGCAAGTCTGAGACTTTTACCATTGTGGCATTGGCATGGCATGGTGCAGATAAACCTGGAAACAAAATCCGGGCGAGCCCGAATTCGGACACACGATTATGGGCCTCTGGCCTGCCCAAGGTATACAACTCTGCATGTTTGAATTGCGGAACATCAGACCGCGCCCTTAGACTAACGCTTAGTCTCTGAATATATCTAATTTTGATAGTAACAAATAATCCCATTGAAATTGGGGGATTCAGAACCTGAGGAAATCTAGACTTGCTTCATTCTTTAGCATTGTAGAGAGGGCTGGGCTGAAGGGAAAATAATGTGGTTCAGGGACTGTGAGACAGACTAACCGCGCCCTGTGCATTTGAGTTTCAACTTGACGTATAATGAATAACGATCTTATGTATTTGAGATTATTAGAAAATGGCTTGTTATATTCGTTATGACATCGAAGATTACACAGTCTGAGATGACATAAGGCACAGTTCTTAGAGTGTTGATATATAAGTCGTTAAGGGCAATTGTTAGTGTTACCTTTGCGTGTATAATGTAATGGTCATTCATTTTCAAGGAGGGCAACTGGGACGAAATCTAAGGACACCTTTCATCTAATAATACAACTTGTACAAGGTTAAACTCCCTTTTCCTATATGATCATACCGCGAAACCTGATCATTAGATCAGAAATC